GAAACTGCTCGAAGTTCATGATTTGTCGAAGTGACTAACTTTGCACTTCAGCAAGTATAAAAGTTACTAGGTGTGTAAATGACCTTATACAGGTACTTTCTGAAAGAGAATAATTTATTCTAATATCCACCAAAATTGGAAAGTTCAACCACATTTCTTCCTTGAGAAATCTGCAATTATTCTCAAGGTGTCCCATTTTTTACCGTTCACCCTAATATATATACCACTATATATGTACCCATCAGGGTGAACCGCTGCTTTAAGGATCGGGGCATTATGGTGTCTCCCGCAGGTCACCCCGCTGCAAACACAGGTGACCTGATTTTGCCCCGACACCGATTTCGTGTGACGCGCCGTTGGTCAATGAGATCACACCATTTTAACTTGCGGGTGACAACCGCGAATGTCTGAGATAGTCCGCATTTGCCAATATTGCTAGTCTGTCGATTTGTTATAGATGGTGAAAGTTTAGCAATTCAAATTGTGTAAATAGGAGTGTTATCTTAGGTAGTATTTAGGCTCTGGTTCCTAGTTGAGTGCTTGTAATTTCGATCTTTTCTAACCCTACTAGTGAAGCAGTTATGTGAAGGTGCTATATGTGCGTGCGCTTCGGGACCGCACCGCGGTTTACCGCGATTTGATGATTTTTAAACTGCGCTTACGATTCTTTGCATATTAGATTTCTTCCTTCCTCTTTTCTAGCGTGTTTTTTTTTCAGAGCAAGGGCATTAATCGAATACAGTCGCGACGAACAAATAGTTTTAGGCTTCTACTTTGAGGGCACAAGTCGGCTTTCAGGTGAGCGTGATTGCCCTTTATTTGACACTAGTTATGCTTCAACTCACTTCTATGATATCTTCCACCATAAGCTTCAGCCATGATAATCTCAAGAAACACCACATAATTGAGCATAGTTCACCATTCAAGGTAGTTAGGATCAAAAATTAACCAAAGCCAATTGTGCTTATCATAGGAACTAAACCTCAACGAGCTTCGCCGGCTACACAGCTCCGAGTAGAGTCAAACACAAGACTGCGCTCGTCAACAATGACCTTCTACGTGTGGTCTTCAAACAGGTTGTGTCCATTCATGTTCATAATTTTCATAACAAATGAACATGTGAATATAATAAAAAAATCTAGTTAAGTAAATATGAGTGGACTACAGCGAAATTTGTAGGCTTGTGGACCAGATCCCTCAGATATATGGAATTTTGCACATGGTATAGTTAGCACACTCAACGGTGCGAAACTAGTCATGTAAGAAGTTCTCATTCAAATCATTTTTTTAGATTTCATAGTGGATGCGCTTAGCCTCGGCAACGAGGATTTGGAGGGATACAGATCGAATGCGATAAGAAGCTTGCGCACTAGGTGCGTTGGTGTTTCGTGAGCAGTCTTTACCTACTTAAATGATTTAGTTTCTGGATCTCCTTGGGTACATCCGATGAAGAAAAAAAAATTAAGAAAGAAAAAAAAGGAAAAAAGCGAGAAAAAAATTCAACTATCTGCTGGAGCAAAAAACTTTCTACTGCGGCCGAATCAGGACCTGTATCGCAGAAGCACTATAAGTTTTCCAGAATCATCTTTTACCTCTAAATTCAGTTTTACAGCGAGGATGTCCGTTAATATCGCCTCAACCAAGGAAAACTTGTGCCTTCAAAGGTTCAAACTTAGTCTCAGTTGTTTTTATACTAAAAATTTGTTTTCCAGAAATACAAGGCTATGCAGGTCAGATTTAGTAGAGAGGACAAGGCAAGTATAACGAAGTCAGAATGGAAGAGGAAAGCGCTACACAGAAGTGAAATTTGATCCTGTCGCTGTCCTGTTTGATCCTGATGCTTAATTTCTGATCCATCATAAGTCTTCTCATGTAACATCGTGCCTTTGCCTCATTAGTTAAGCATTTTTTCTCATTAATCACTGCTTCATTTACTTACTCCCCGCTTACTTCTATATTCAGTACATGCTTACTTCATATCTCACTGTCAATATGATACTCTTACGCATTACTCGGGCACTATTGTAATTCGATCTTTTAAGAACTTGAAGAAATCCTCCCATTCCCATCCGTCGATATGTTATATCTACTGCTATAACAATAAATGATGGAGCATATCTGTTTTTGCGTATAAATACCACTAGTGCTCCACCCTTACTACTACACTACTTTGAGTAGCTGTACTAAGGGTTGTATCTGTTTTTGCGTATAACTACTACTAGTGCTCCACCCTTACTACTACACTACTTTGAGTAGCTGTACTAAGGGTGCGGCTTTATGAAGTAGCAGGATTCATCATCAAGATTCGGTACAGCTACGCAGAGCCAATCTGAAGCCCTCAGGAAGTTCTGTAGATAAGTTCTCGGGAGATTTCCCACTTCTTGCGCACTCCTCGAGGACTTTTTTGCAAAATTCCCGAGCGCTTCACGGGGACTTGCGCAGGTGACCCGAGGAAAGTTCCCTCACAGACCTCGGGAAGTTCCCATGGATTGTCTGAGTACTTGCTGAACACATCGCCTTAAACTACTGCGTCTCTCATCGTGGAATGAAAAGGTATTCTACCGCTATTGTTTACACGGAAATTGCAAGCCGTTCGATAATAAATGATAAGAGTTCATTTTTCTTTGAAATCGATAAATCAATAGAAAGAGTGGGAATTTCGCTGTGGAAAGTAGCATATGGGGTAGACCGGTGTCGGGAACATATGCGTGAAAGTTTGGCGATGATTGGTCCATACACAAAAATCTCTATAAAGAACACACTAACAAACAAGTTACCAACACTCAGTCTTATATATGTATATGTATCTGCCCTCACCCATTTACTAGCGCCCTACGGGTCGCTAGTCTTATATGTATATAAAGCTGAATGTCTGTTTGTCTGTATGTATGTATGTATGTATCTATGTCTCGTATATTTTGAATAATTCCTTTTCTGGACCGATCCGGACCACACAATACACTTCGGGGAGAGGCAGGTGTCTTAGGCTACTTTTCGTCATCGATCGATATCGAGTTTATTGATTTTTATCGACTTTTTTGCAAAGTTCGAGTTACGGGGCTGAGAGTTGCCACAGGAGGATAATCGAGCATGCTGATCACAAATACAATATTAGCTCTTGAATTTACCTATTAGTTTTATCGATTTTTTGTAGGTTTAAGCTGTGCTGGATCACACGGGGATAAGTGAGCATGCTGATGCCTAACACAGCTAGAATGGGGAGTTGGAATTGGGTTGATATGTAGAAGTGGGCACAGGGAGAAAGGCTGTACAGGAATAGGGATGGGAGCTTTATCATAGTGTTTTGACAGGGCCGGGCGAGCCGGGTAAGCCAGCTAGTATAGATTTAAAGACAGACAGACACATGAAGGCATCCAAATAACTAAGTTTGAGCACACTTTTTATTTACATATGTTTTTCCATAATTTTTTCCCCTTGTTCTTAACCGCTACTGCGCATATACACCAAATTTCAAGCTCTATCGCTGAAGAATTAAACTACCCTTTTCTGATCTAGTGATGGAATATCCAATAAAAGACTGTTGCACCCTATACGTATAATTTCTCCTAGATTGTCAAGGTTTCTTTTGTCTCATATCCTTAGAAATCGTTGCCTCCCCGGTGTATGGGCACCCCCAGAAGAGTCTTGCAGATAATCGTGAAAACGCGACACATAAGTTGTCTCACTTTGAGAGTATTATCATATCATTTTAACCACTTTGAATAAGCGGTTTTCTCGACATTTGTTCCTGTTTCGATGCTTTCAGCATGTCATTTTTTTACTATTCGAACATTGAAAATAGTAGAAAGTCTCTCTAAATTCCTTTTTCCCTGAAGCATCTGCTTGTTGTTTGCATACTTTCAGGCTAAAGATATAAATGTTTGACTAAATCTGCGGCAATTGAACATCCCATTCCTCGACAAAAGTTAAGTGAATGGACATTTGAAAAAATTCAGAAAGAGCGTCGAATGCTAATTTCGAGTCAAAAGAGTTTCCGTAATTCAACTATTCAGAATTGGATTCATTTACCAGCGGGGCAAACGACTCCTTAGCTCAGTTTTTACGCGCATTGGTGACAAGAGTTTCCTGGAAAGTTCAATGTTAAACAACTAATTCAATTCGAGATTAAACAAGAGTAGCTATAGAATCAGTCAAAGACGATTTGGAGCCTAAAGGCAGTGGCTCGGGAAAATTGCGACTGCGGGCTTTCCACGACTACATGGCCTTCTGGACCAGCTGAGTCCGGTACTGCACTCGAAAAGTCAAAAAAATGGTTTTTGGCGTTTTCGGGCCTTGGAGATTGCTGGAGGGGCGAAGCGAAGGATTCCCTCAAAAGGAGCAGTTGGCTGCTGGAGACTGCAACTCCACATATACTGGCGGCAACTGGCTGAGCCTAGGCAGCCATCGCTATACACTTTGCCGCAAAAATAGGTGGAGTTACAGTCTCCTGCAGCCGGTTGCTCATTTCCGGGTGAATCCCTCCCCCCGCCTCCCCAGCAATCTCCAAGGTCCGAAAACCCCCAAAAAGCACTTTTTTGACTTTTCAAACGCAGTACAGGATTCAGCTGGTCCAAAAGGCCATGTAGTCGTGAAAAGCCCGCAATCGCAATTTTCCCGAGCCACTGCCTTTAACGTACAAAGAGATCGATGCGAAAAAGCTGTCGTAGTTTGTCAGGTAGGCATTTTTTTGTCTTCTACCTTCGAAGCAGCAAATTAAGTTTTTTCTTATCGAGCACATTGAAAATGTTCATGCTAGGTCCAAGATTAAGTGAGAGAAAGTCTGAACATTACATGTGTTTGTGTGCGATTGTTATGCAGACATGGTTTACACTGTGATTTAAATTTCAAACTTCAACGTCGAGTACAAGCCTGCGTGAGGTAAATAGGAAATTTTAACAGCAACAAATAGTGATCAAAAATCGAAATATTCTAAATAGCAGCTAGCACTACTACAATAAAGACAAAATGCGTTTAAGAGTTGCTTGACTCTTTACTGCTCTTCAGTTGTGTCGAGAAGCAGTTACCTGTCCTCCTGTACCACTGTAATTGCTAATAACGTGCTTCTTCCCTGAATACAGTGGATTTTCTTCTGCATTAAAGGACGACAATTGTGACTTACGAAAGATCTGTTTTGGAGATGTAAGAAGCTTTCGAAATTCGGCATTGAATCCAACATTTATAAGCCTGCTTTTATTTAGGTTATTTTGAGAGCATACAGGCCATTCATAGCACGCAAAGATTGCGAACTTATCTGCGTCTCATTTATCCAGTGCTCTTTCGTTTCCCTTACCATCTGGTGCCTCTCTCAGGCACGAACTATCTTGGCCGGACGCAACGGCGCCCAGTCTTTGCGTGTCATGAATCGTGTATATATGAGTGTCTAGCAGTGGCGTATCGAAGGGGAGGGGCGGGGGGGGCGCCCTCTTTTTGCAAATTTTGAGGTTATGGGCCCACGAAAATTTTGAGAATACCAAAAAAATCTTCTGGGTTTCTCTTACCATCTGCTGCTTCTCCCAGGCACGAACTATCTTTGCCGGACGCAACGACGCCCATTTTTTCTTCACCAGAAAAAAATTTTTGTCGCCTCTCCCCCCCCCCCCCGAGCGGAAATCCTGGGTACGCCACGGTGCCTAGGTAAGTAAAAACATACGCGTCACCACAGTGCACCAGATTCCATGCAAGCGTTGTCATGGCAAACACAGCCCAATGATTTTGATATTTCCATGCAAGATGGAAGTAGGTGAATAATTCTACACTGAACAGAACTCCTTGCAGGACGACCTGAAATATGGATCCTTTTTTATTCTACACATGTCCTCAATCAGAGTCTAGTAAAGTGATTCAAGTCTTTCACAAGCATATGCTTGTGCTCACTTGCTTCTTGAAAGATTTATACCTACCTGCTTTAAGAATTTTATCTCTCTTTTACGACGTTTATCCATTTCCATGTCATGTCGCGCTTTTCGCATCTAAATATAATGACATTACTTGGTGGGTCAAAAATGCACTATGCTTACAATCCTTACACTCGTATTCTATTATGTCGTTCAGAGAGTTTTCCCCTTATTTTTCAGATCATGAAAATATGGGGAATTTTAGGCAAGCACTTAAATAGCTCAACGCAGAATTTTTTGTCTTTTCAGCGATAGTAATTTGAGACCATTTGCTCTTCTGGTTACTGGAATAATCGCAGAACATGCCCAAATTTGACGATTTTTCAAATTTCTCGTTTTGAACTTCTGGAAAAGTCTTGACAACAGCTGGATAGAGCAGGCACTCGGCGTTTCTATCTACTCTTTCAAAACTACCAAAATTATCTTTCTGACTTCAATAAATTCCATTCGAGCTAAATGTCACAGAACATCAAACAAGCAACTCGGGTATCGCTTAATGCAGCTTTTTCTTCTCTTCTGATAGGCTTTTTTCTTATTAGTCTGTGGAACCTTCGAGGATGAAATCATCGTCAATGTGAATATCAGGTGCATGCACTCATGGCTACACTCGAAACTTTGATTTTCGAAATCTCGAAGCTCTGAATGCTCATTTGCTTTGTAAAACTGATGTCTAATGACAACCGAGCTCTGGATGGAAAAATTAGTACCGAAGACTTCTCAGTATTGGATGCGTCCCTGTATCACACTACTTTGCAGTAATGACTTTTGGAAGAGTGATCTTGAAAATTATAGCAAAGCTGGCTGAAAGTGCCTGAAAAATCTGCTGCATTGCACTTGTTTGCTCTATCCGCTGTTAGCATAACTCTTCCAGAAACTGAGAAGGAACAAATTGCCAAACTTGGGTGTGACAAAAAAACCATGGATTCAAAATTTTAATTGTTTTAGTTCAGCGAAAGCAAATGCCGATGAGAACCTGTCGAAAAGAGGAAGAAATCTGCGTCGAATAGTCTTCGGATTTTTTCGCCTAACTTTATTTTAAGTAATTTCAGGCAGGTCGAAAAACGGAAAGTACTTTCGGAACGACCTAATATATCGACTTGGAACAAATCGCAAATCGAAAACTTCCGATGTCCTTTACTCACCCGTCTGTTGGTTATCTGCACAACTGTGATGGTTATCGCATCCACAATCCCAACTGTGATTACGATAAACGAGTCCTTGGCAAAGTCCACATAGAAAGATATAAATTGACAATCCTAAATGGTTGGTATATCTACTTAAACTGAAGTTTTCGAAATGTACCTTTGTTTTGGAGAAAACAAAAGCCAATATATTGCTGTCATAATAAAAGTCACAGTCGACTGTAATCAAATACTGTCAAATAAGTAATTACAAGAATTCGCTTACAGTAAAGATATGCAATACATCCACGAATTATAACTACTATCCAGATGATACAAATAAGAAATTTCGTATTATGTTTGCTGCAAAAGATTTTCATTGTACTCTATAAAGGGTCGGGCATACTTCACGCGATTTCAGTAGCGACGCGATTTGGCAATATTCCAACTGTAACTAACTGTATATAACTCATTGTAAGCACATTTTGAATGTACAGAAGATAGGGCATTTTATCAATTCACGTAAGTTATACACACTATGCATGTGCACTTTGCTAGTGTTGGAGAATTGCCAAATTGGTCGCGACTGAAATCGCGTGAAGTATGCCCGGTCCTTTTCGCAGCTTGAAAACCATACTTGAAGTAGTAACTATATTGCAAGGAACGACAGATAGCGCACATCCTGTTCAATGAGATGAATAAATGTGATAATGTGCAGATGTCATAGCTCATTAAGAGCACAGTCCCAACTCTTTTTGAAAATGACTCAAACCATGTAATATTACTAAAATTCAAAATCTATTGCTCATATCAAAATTGTTCAACTGTGGCTTTTTTGACAACAAGAAATAGGAAAACTCACAAGAACACCATAGGCGAGAAATAAAACGCAAATAGTGAACATAATACGAATGCTGCAGTTGACTGATTTGCCATTAGCAGACCGAAAGAGTTTTGCATTGAAGGAACAGTTTGAGCAGATGTTGCGACAAGCCAGTTTGCTGCAGACCCGATGAATGACACCTAAAGTGACGAAGAACATCCGTTTGTATGTTTTAATATGAAAATAGTAAAAAATTCTAGCGGTATATTACTTTGATGCAATCTGAGCAATTACTAGGTTGGAACAAAAGTTTTGCACCAATGTGGGTATAATTCGCTACAATTCATATTATTTCCTTATTCCAGAAAGGGACCGATATATAGTTCGATAAAGCAAAGCTAGCTCTACAGTATACAGGGTGTCCCAAAAGTAAGTACACACTTTTTAATCGTCAATATCTCTCTTCCCAATGGGTCTTTTTTGCCAGTAAAGTACTATTATGTAAAGGAGACTTCAACTTAAATTTACAGTATCGATCGAATCACCGATCGCTCTTGGTTACTGGGATTACGGTAAGAACTTCCAGCATGTGGAACCATCTAAAAATTTTTTTTCAAAAATCTGAAAAAGACGTGTACTAGAGTTTTCGCGCACGCTGATTCCACTACACAACTTTTTATAAGTGCTTTCAGCTTTTTTGACGATGTAAAAACATTTCTGACAAATACTTGGAGTTCGGTTATTACGGTTTACCTGGAAAAACTTTGGAAAGAAGCATCACAGTAAAGTGGAAATTTCATATTCGAAATCAGCGGCTTCCATTATCACAGTATAAGAGTTTTGGCTTGTTTGGTCTTGTCCCGAGGCAGAATATGGCCCGTAGTAAACCCCCATCAGAGCATCTCTCTTAAGGCGTACCGGAGGTGATCTCATCGCGCCTCAGCGCATTGCCAGGGGAGCGATTGATTTGGAGCAGATCACTGACTGAACATTCGCGTTTTCAATATTGGAACGTTTCCTGCCATTTGTGCATTAATAGTCATGGATAAGACTAATGCATTTTAAGCGGGAATGCCGTGGTACGAGTGCGGCTAGCGACACCATTTTTGCTACTTGGCCTGGCGATCTTTGACAGCGGCCGCTGTCGAAAAAATCGATGATAGCCGCTATCAGAGATTTCGCCTAGCAAATAACAAGATAAAAGAATTACACAATATTTTGGCAATCATACGAGGAAAAAATACATTTAGCGAAAAATGAATAGAAAGGTAAATTTATCTTCTTGTTATCTGAAGCGACTCTTTGAGAAAAACGAGCAACAACTGCAAAAAAATGCAAAAAAACCTTTTTTCCATTTCGTCGCGCAATCAGCTGTTCATCGATCCTCACTCACTTGGGCGCCCGAAATTGTGCACTTTTGGGAGTTTCGCACCGCAAAAAAACGTCAGCTGCGATGTTTCGTAAGTTACTCGGAAGCAACTTACGGAGGATTTCTCTGTGCTCTCCTCTTTAGCACATATTTACCTAACTTCGTCGCCCGGCTCATCTCCGATGACTCGGTCGGAAGCTGATCTCCCTGCCGGCTTTATCTGAAGCTCACCTGTAGGGTGACCTTCCATACTTACACTACGGAAACGCGGGCAGTCCTCATCTCACCCGACAAAACCTCATATGAGAGCTTCAGGGGAGATCATCTCCCGTGACCGAGCTTTACTACGGGCCTATGACTTTCAACGGCTCAAAATCCTTGTCGAAGTACCTACAGCAATCCTACAGTAATGAAGAGCGAACGGTGATTTGCTCGATACTATAAATCTAAGTTGAAGCCTCCTTTACAGAATGGCACCTAAATGGCGGAAAAAGATACAATGCGAAGAGAGATATTAATGAGTGAAAAGTGTGAACTTACTTTTGGGTCACCCTGTATATGCAGTTGCTGCATTTTTTCTAAGCTAGAAACCAAGAAAACGAAGATTTTGATGTTTTTGTCAAATCATGTGAGCTGTTCTTTCACTGCAAACTGCTAGCCTTCAAGTACCGTGAATTTTTGGCTTTTTGCAGCAGTCGCTTTCAGAGAAATGTCGAAATTGGCATAAAAACTCGAATAAGAGGATCCAAACACAGCCTAGCATCACTTTAATGAGAGTTGGGAAATTTTCGTTTTTCGATTTCCAGCCAAGGTAAGTGTACATATGAATATCTGGTGCAAAGATCATACATTCCGCGCAAACAGATTAGCGCAGACTTCTGACTTTTTTATGAGATTTGAGAATTGTCTGAATTGACAAATTGCCTGAAAGGCTATAGGACTTCCAAGTACAATACTGCCGAGGTGGGTATAAAAGGAACACCGAACCTTACCTTGAGAGTAGGGTCAAACTTTTAAAGAAGACTTTGAAACTTATTTTTTGCATGTATACGACTCAGTATCTAAAACGTGCTCCCTCTGTAACACCTCAATGTTTATCTCGTTCCATTTATTTTTTCAAGTATCAAAGCTCATAAATTCCACTAAGCTGCTGAGTGACGAAGTGAAAATTTTCAAAGGTCGAGAAAACTTACGCAAAATATCATGACCGCAGCTAGCTTCTGCTCACGAGTTGTCCAAGTTCCTTCCATTATATCGTTAAAAATAACTTTTGACTAGTTTGAAGCAATTGTGGTACAAGCATCCGCGGAAATTCGAATAATAAGAGCTCAAAATTTTGAAAAATTAATCCCTTTTAGTGTAACAACTTTAGCTCAAAATAACTGTAACTAGCAGGAAGTTCAGGTGTTTCTCAAGTAAAAATTACCATAGTAAACAAGAAAATGACATTACACTATTTCTTAAGAATTTTCAGCTGCAAATTCGAGTCAACTAGTCTACATTAACAGCATAGATGTATAAACAGAATAACAGATGCTGAATGGGATTTGCAAAATTCTAAAGAACGATGCAAAGATTCAGTGAGCTCATTAGATTGTTATGGCAATCAGCCAACCATATACTGTATACTTGCAAATGATTGCAAAAATAGAAACTGTTCTCTAAGAACTCTGATATTGAGAGATTTCGGTTACCTGGGGAGATCTGTATATTGACTTAAGTTGTACTAATTCACATTTACTGCAATGAAGTATCAAGTTGTCCTAAAAACAAACTCCCCTTCTAAAATAAGGCTTTTTCTGTTTTCCTAGCAGACTCAAGGTGTAATTTGAAAGAGAGAAGAAAGCTCTACAAAATGACAACTAACGATTTGCCTAAATCGTGATCCAGGTAAAGTTTGGAGCCAAAATCGAAAAGAAAATTTATCAACTGAAAATTGGACTTTTGCGTGAAAAGACCCTGAGGATTTCAAACTCGGATTTCAAGCTTATACAGTAGACACATAGTAGTATCCAGATGTGCCTTTACTAAATTTTTTCCGCGTTCAAAAAGCGAGAAAAGAGACAGTTCAAAAGTGGCAAGTTTCGCTCCCAGCCCCTCCCACATACCTTAGTGGATATAACCATGCAAATCAACCTCTGTTTGTGCTTTGGTAATCGAGAAATAACAAGTTTAACATAAGAAACCGAAAAAAGTGACATTTTTGATTTTCGTGCCGTTTTGTTTCGCAATTCAATAGAGCTTGCTTTACTCTGTCATGGTACGTTGAGTCTTAGGAAGACAAAAACAGCTTAATTTATTTCAAGAAGGAGTTCACTTTTGGGACAACTCAATACATTTGTTTAAGCTTATAAACACTTAATTTTCCTGGAAAAAGCAAAAATGTGTGCTTGCTTTGCCGAAAATGCCGAAAATGCTGGTTTAGACAAGCTTTCATTCAATAGAAGATATTTGGTATTTGGCTGTTCTCAACGGGAAAGAAGAGGATGGATGAAATCAACTGCCTAACTATTGGCTCGGAAAGAAAAAATGTCGCCTTTTCGATTCCTTTCTCTAAAACTGATATTTCTCAAGAAAGAGCGTATTCGGACAAAACTTTGTAGTTGAAGTTTCGAGAGCTTGTGGAATACAATGATATATATGAAGAAGTCCGGGGCCACTGGGGAAGAGCATTTTCCGTTTTTATGTTTTTCGATTTGAAAGCAAGAAAAAAATTTAGCAAGTTCCTGTGGATAAGTATACGCTGCTGCATGACGAAGATGCAATATCTGTGGGGGTGCATCGCGTTCGCGCCTGCTCAACTAAAACTGCTTCTGCGCTTTCGTCATGCAGTAGCCTTTACATGTGTAGATTACATGCAAGGAGCAAGTGAGAGGTTCGTAGATTTGAGAAGGAAATCCGGTTTTTTGGCATCATAAAGTGCTCTTTTTTTTCTAAACGTTGCGTAAATCAAGACTTCTGCTAATTTTGGAAAGTTGCCTTGCAGAACTTTTTTTATTCTATCATATGGTATCACTCACTAGTTGGATGTCTTATTGTCTGTTGTAAAAAACATTTTTTTTCTTTATAACCTGGTACATTGAAAAACTGAGTGTTTTTTATGCAAATAAAAATATTTTTTTTCCTTCATATCCATTCCGCTCCTCTCACTCTTCTACTATTCCCCCGTATGGACCCCTTATAAGTGACAGCTGGTGTGATTTGAATTAGCATAAGTTTGCAAATTTAACAACATTTTATTAAACAGCACGAATCTAAATATAACCGTCCGTCAAGGAAGTTCCGAAGTTGCGTAGACTAATCATGTGCCTGTTCTCTTGTCACTGTTCGAATCTGTGATCCTCGTTTTTGTCCTCTGACTGAGTGTATCAATAGCTGGAAAGAGTTGGAATAGTTCACCGGAAATGAATTGTGCAATGACCTGCAGTGCGATGCTTCAAACTAACTGAATATACGCTTAGGAGTGCGAAGAAATTTCCGGAACTCTGCATTGAACCCAAGTATAATCAGCCTAAAAACTCTCATTCCAATAAAAATTCGGAGGAAAAAGTGTGTTACTTACGAGTCACTGCAATGCACTATATTCCAAGCAGCTGTCGTCAGTGCCCACATAATCCATTTGTTTTCAAATTGCCATGCGAGATAGAAGTACGTAAAGAGTTCGACAACAAACACTATACCTTGCATGACTGCCTGAAATTTTCAAAATTTTGAGAGCTCAAGATTTTATTTTATCGTTTACCTGTTTCAAAAAATTAATTTCGTTTTTACGCCTGCGATCGCTATCCGTTCTTCCAGTTTTACGTATCTGGAGGGAAAAATTTTTGAAGCAATTCACATCCATTTGCCAGCTTCTACCCTACCTCAACGTTGGTTATGTGTACTTTAAATATTGTAAGAATATCCACAATAGCGATTACTATGACTATAGATAAGTCTTTGTAAAAATCAATATTCCAGGATATGAATTTGCACTCCTAAAACGACAGAATCAGAACTTTGAGATTTTTCTCGGTGATTTTTAATGTTGTTATGACAGCATGGGGCATTTGAAAAATCGTGACGATGACGCGACCGCGCGCGACACGCACGCCACTTCCGGAACTCGCATTTTCTTGGCTTTCATTTCCAGTCTAGTCTAGTCCTAGTGGTTTTTTGCCTACGTATGTTCATATTTAGATTCTGAAAGTGACTGAGCTAAACGTTAAGGTGATGCCTTTTTGTATGAGCGATTTATGCTCCTGTGGGCGCAAAGTCCGCAGTAAAATTCGTCGTCACGATTTTATAAATGAACTATACTCCTTCTTTATCTACTTTGAAAAATCGAAAAGTCCCTCGGGAAGTAAAATTACCGTAGTTTACTCCCCTAAAAGTACACACATACCTCTGTCTGAGTGAAGACAAATGCCCAAATTCTGTTGTTAAACACAAAATCGCAGTCATCTAAAGGAAATATCATTTGCTGCATAGACATAATTTGCAAGCACTTACAGTATCCATAGAGCACTAGCGCTAACGTAATCGGCACCACCCACGAGATTACAATCAGAATTTTTGTGACCTTTCTACTGCAAGTAGAGTTCTTTTGCAGGTGATTTTCTAACGCTTAAGGAAGCAAAACAAACCTGAAGTAAACATCATACTGCAGAGGTAAACAAATAGCGCACATCCTATTCATAGCGATGAAAAGATGTGAGAAAATGCATATATCGTAACATGCTAGTGCCACTAAGCCAAAGTACCTCGAAATGTCCTTCATGGGTTCGATGTCACTGTAATTTACAAATTAGGGTAATCTGCTTTTTTCAAAAGTGAAACTTACAAGAACACCATGGGTGAAAAATAAAACGCAAAAATGGTGCACAGAATTGCTTCGCCTGCTGATTGACTAGCTAAAAGTCGCCCGAAAGAGTTCTGCATTGTTGGTAGACGTTGTGAAGACGTGGCTACTATCCAGTTACCCAAGGATCCAACCAGCGAAATCTACAAGCAAAGAAAAATCTACGGACTGAACGCATAGCTTTTGTAAGGCATTCAATTCAACTTATACCGGCGTTGGCGGCCAGAGGTAGAGAGTTAAAAAGTGGGAGAGAAGAGGGCTCCTGCTCTTCTTTTTATTAAAACTGATATAGAAAGATGTGCAAGTAAATTAATAATTTACATACGATAAATTACTTTTCGTACCATCTTTTTCAAGAAACTTGGCTTTCTTAGCCAGAAGAAAATTTGTAAAATTGCAGCAAGGAAAAAATTATGCCTTGGATTTTACTCGCGATAAATTTGCACCCCCCCCCTTCTCCATAGGGTGAATAATCGAATTGGAAAAGTCACCATTTGATAGCAAAGTTTGTTGCTGCAATGAACAACAGCTATTATCATAATGTAATTTCAAAGAAGTTGTCTAGGGTGGAGGACTATATGTCACTGAGTGTGGAAGAGTCCCGCGCGGATTTCCTGCAGGAACGCATGTCCTCGCATGTACAAGGGTGCGTATTTGTAGCAAATGACCGCGAGGACCGTCCTTTTTCGGCGACATATAGTCCTCTACCCAGTTGTCTAACAATAAGTTCCTTAATACACTTAAAAATGGAAAGTTGGCCTTTGCGCAATTTTAGCCATCATGGCTAAGTAGTATTATAATTTTTTGCAAAAATTGGTTTCCAAAATAAGCCTTTAATCTGTTCGGCCTTAAGGCGTTTTGGTCAGAATCAGAAAGCAAGTAGAGTTTACACCCAAATAATTTTTGTGGGAGTGTTTTTTTTTTCTGTGTAGCCTGCAAACTAGATCGAATCATTTTGTTGATTTGTCCATAAAGAACTGACTTACTACAAATATGATGATTCCAACGATTTGGTAATCCTGAATTCCAGCATGATGCTCCATGGATACTCGCGTTGATGATGTAAATGAAGGAAACAATCCGGGGCGACTTAATTTGAATAATACTCGAGAACAAATCCTTTTATACTAATCACGTGGGAAGTTCCGCAATGAGCACTCCGAATGACACTAAAGATCAAAGGATCCTCTTCATCACCTATGCATCTCTTTGTTTACGGATCAGTGCTAGCTTAACTCTAGAGTGTAGAAGTCAAGATTGATGACGGAAACAGAATTGTGAGTTGAGGGTTTACTATACGTATTGTTAGTCTCACCACTTATTCAATTAGTCGCTCAGTTTTTTTTGCTCATTAATGAGTTCCTGTTAATAAATCCATTACCCAGTGCTTTTTGATGACACTTCTTTCGATTGTTCTTTGGTTGTTTTTGCAACACAGATCGTCTATCCTAGCATTAATCCATGCGAGTAGCACAGGGGACACCATCTACGTCTCCGTTCGCCTGAATACTATTTTCTTTTAATTATTTTCATTATAACAAACACAAAAAATGCATAGAGACCTTATCAAAAGCTTGCGCCCTGGACAGGCTTGCTCATTCCATCGCCGAAAACCAAAAATTGTTACCTGCCATGGAAGAATGTTTTAGTTGTTTTCAAAAAGCTTTGATTCTTTTAAGGTTAGGCAAAAAATAAAAATAAGAGTTGACTGTTTTTTATTCAGTCCTGACTCGCGGATTTTGGTATGATGTGATCGAAATTGATTAGCACTTCTAGCTGGGAATCTTTCAAATGCAATGTTTATTTTACCCTCAGTAAAGTTTTTCAACCCTAGTAATAGCTCCGTTATACGGGCCCGTTTCTTTGACGTTTTAATGTGAGCCGAGCAGGCCGGTTGCAAAAACAAATTCTGTAATTGAAAAATCCTTCCTCCTCTTGTGAACTAAAAATTAACACTGAAACCATCCGTGTTTTCCAAACACTATTTCGATATGACTTAAATGACGCGATACAGAAAATTTTTGACTACTCTACAACGAAATCAATTTAAGTTATATCTTAACTACCTTTCCGTGGAGCTGATCTTAAATGTGGAATTCAATAAGCGTGAATACATATACGTGAATACATCATTTTTAATTCGGTACAAGTGGCTTACGGAAACGGCTAAGATTTGTTTTGAGGGTAAAAAGCGAAGGGGATATTGTTTCTTTCAAATCAGCACTCAGAAAATGCGTGAATCAGCAGCAGCGTCAGTTTGCTTATGGTGTACATGAATGAATCGCCAATCGCTTCGTGAAAATCGAAGCCTCATAAGAGACATCGAGTTTCCAAAAAAAATTCTAGTTACGCACCGAGAGGTCCAGTCGCCTCGTACACACTCAGTGTTGAGAATTAGGTATAATTTCCAGAGAATGTTTGCTATGTTTTTAAAACATCACAAGTGAATCATAAAAATATCAGAAGTTCATGATATTTTGAGTAAGGCTTAAGATTCACTGGTTACACTAGTTTGAGAACCGCTTAATACAATGATTTATACGTCTTTGACACAGATTGCCGCCTTAAAGGCAGCGTCCAAGCAGATCTGTACCTATGGGGGTTTTGCGTGGAAAGTACTTTTGGGGCCCTAACTAAGGCTCTGCTCAAGCGGCAGCGAAGGTAGTGCTTTAACGGCTGAGATATCCCCCTCGAAACTAGACCCCGCGATCGTATTTCGCACAGATTCATGGCGCAAAGCGTGGGTCCTGGCGCGAAACTGCCATGAATCCATGCGAATACGATCGCGGGGTCCAGTTTCGAGGGGAATATCTCAGCCGTTAGCTACCTGAGCTGTCGGTTGGGCAGTGGCTTAGTTAGGGCCCCAAAACTACTGTCCACGTGAGATCCCCATAGGTCCAGATCTGCTTGGACGCTGCCTTTAAGACAGCAATCAGGGGGGGGGTCTAGGTTGGCTTCTAATTCCACAGTTTGGAGGTCTTCTGAAGCGGGATATCTGAGGTGGACAAAGAAGGAGTAATGCTTTGTCTTGAGTGCAAAAACGGATAGCTAATTCACCTTTGAAACAAAGTTAACCATGTTGGAATTTGACCATTTCACTTAGGTAGCCTAGTATCTTGAATCTTCAGGATTCGCTCGCCTTTGTCTGCAGGGGTTATTTGACATGCTAATTATGGATAGCATACGAATATCATGTTATCACTATTATCAGATTACCCAACTACGACTCCCTCCCCTTTTGTCTCCTCAATACGACCCCCCAAGTGTGGCGTGCCGCACCCCACGCTTGACCCTGGTCATGACCCAAGGGATAGCATATTTAGTGCAACCTTGAAAGCGCAGGAAATACAATTATATCCAAAGAGAATGCATCATTTAAGTTAAAGAGTGCATTCGCCAAAATTGTCGACATTTCCTTAAGCGATGGAGCTCTCATTATGGCGCAGATCTCTCATGTGAAAACCTAAGCTTTCTTACAAGTTGTGAATAACCAGTGCTTCACCTCTGCTTCGCACTGGCCATCATGAAAAATATAGGTAAACTTACGTAATGATCTTGGCCTTCATCATTCTTTGATGGAGGAGACCGCAAAGTAATTACAAAAATGAACCTTACTTGCTTTGCAACTCTCACATGCATTTAAGCAATGTAATTTTTGATTTTAATTTTTAATTTTTAATTTTTTTAAATTATTTTTTGTTTAATTTTTTTAAATTAATTTCATTCCTCACTGTAATTTCGTAACAGACAGACTTACAGACCGACAAATTAGCGGCTTATTATAAGTCATGGTGTTTTTTAAGCTGGCCGTCAAACACTACTGGCGGTCAATGAACATCTTTATGCTGTATCAGGTGAGCAATCAACGAGCGGTTTCGTCACTGCCGGCAAACCAGTAACCCTGACTGGACCAAATAAAGACGGAAGTTGTTGATAAATCGGTGTACACAGCAAAATACGCGTATGACACGAGTTAGCATAACGCAGAATATCTTAAATTTTTGCCTTTTAATTTCTTAGCTTCATTATCAAGAATCATGACATTAGGGTAACTTGCATAGGTTTTGATGGCGTTGAAATAAATACTGCTCATGGATTTTGCTGTCCCAGTTTCTATCTCGTTCAAGTAACAAACGAGCAGACTAACACGGCGGACCTCTAGAAAATAGGACGAGAGTCATTGTAGACATTTATGAAGAAATTAGGTAAAAGGAGAGATCGACTTATGTAAGTTCCTCTACAATGTGTCTTTTTAGAAAGATAATACCAGTGTCCCTCCTTCGAGCGAAGAGACGATTCAGTCGCAGGTTGGAAAAGAAAGTCTGTCACAGTACCGCAAGAAGGAAGAATGTCGTTTATGACGATAACAGGCTGGAAGAGCTCATATCAAGTTGTGACTGGCCCATCGAGGAGGACTCAACATACGACTACGACCGACTTCTGAAAGGATTGCGAACCTGCGGATAGTGCGCCGCAGTGGATTCTGAGAAGAACTTGGAACGTATTTCGAAGACCACCAAGAAATTGCTCGAAAGAAGAAAATTTCTGAGAGAAGATCCGAATGCAACCATCTCGAGCGACTGATAGCCAATGTCAGTTGCAGAACAGCTTTGCAGGAGGATCTCAGAAAGTACAGGCAAGTTAAAATACTAGAAACAGCCGTAGGAAGACGAAGTCTCAAGAATGCCGAAGGGACCTCTGCGAATATCACGTACCGCTGGCTGCACTACTGAACGAAGACGGGACTCCGACTTCTTCCCGATACAAGATGGAATCTATCGCGAAGAACTTTTGCATCAACCTCTTCCGCTCATCAACACCAGTGCCGATGCCCGTTG